TGAAGGGTGGAACAACAAATTTTATCATCTTGTTGGTTATCAGCACCCATCTATTTGGAAACTGATAAGAATGATTCAAAAGGAAGAGGCCGTTGTGAGTGCAGTGATAGCAAGGAACACAGTTGGTGAACCACCAAAAAAGAAAACAAAAGGAAATATATTCTGATCTGCAACAAAGACTAAAAAATTTATGCAGTGACTACACAGAAGGAAGGAAAGATTTGGATCAATTTTTAACTGGACTTTGTTACAACATAAGATTTTAACTTATTCATTTTTCGTATCATTGTAGATGAGGACTCTTACTTAGCTCAATCACCTCCCATCCCCTAAAAAATGAGAACCTACTTTCATTTAGGTGATTACATATGAACTGCCTGAACAAAAAAAAAAAAAAAAAGAAAAAGAAAAACAACTTTAGAATTTAGCGTGGGGATCAGTTTTGTATATAAATTTAACGTAAAATACTCACCCACATTCTGACCAGATAATGTCTTGACAACATGTAACCGTTTTGTTTGTCCTTTTTTGTAGTGGTACGGTTAAGGAAGCATTTTTTATGGGGGGAGGGGTTAGTGGTAGGATTAAAGGAAGGTTTTTTAACTCCTCACAACAAAACACAAGTACCCTCCCCCCATTCCCAAAGAAAAGACAGATCTTTGGTTAGACAGTGGCCCAGAAATGGGTGATCATTTGAATTTATATGCGAAACTGATCCCTCTTTTTAAATTCTAAAAAGATATTCATTTTTATTTTTCAGTTGACAGTGGGTCAAAGGTTACAATTTTATTCCAAAATAAAACAGTGGAAAATAGTTTGTTAATTTAAGTTGGTGTTACTAATTCAATGCAAATAAATGTTAAAAAAAAATCATACAAAAATCAAACAAGTAAACTGATCACTGGTCTTAAATCTATTTTTTTGTTGAAATAAATAGGCTAATTTATTTTTTTAAGTTTTGAAAATGGAAACTTAATTCAATGATTTAATTGCTGGTGGTCACTGCTTTTAATTTTCTTGCACCAAAAAGATTTTTACTTTTTGAAAAAAATGTTATACAGAAAATAGGCAAAATTGATGTTTAACGATCCCATTAAAATCAAATTAAAAACTAGATATGGTCTACTTGATATCAAAAAACTAATCCCTATTATATGTCTATGTACTGTTTTAATTATTCTTTTAATATTAACAAATAGCAAAATAAAACTGCTCTTTATAATTTGAAATGTTTATTTTTTATTGCACATAATCAAATTAAATTTTTTTTAATTGGAATTTTTTTCACAAATAATCAAATAAAACTTTTTATAATAGGAATGTTTTCTTTTGAAAATATTTTTTAAATAGTTTATTTATTATTTTTATAATTGAATGTTTTTTTTTGTGTGAAAATACTTTTAAATAGTTTATATTGAAAAACATTTTTAAATACTTTATTCTATTTTTTAAATAGTCTAATTGTTTTTTTTTATAAATAGAATGTAATAATTTATATATTAAAAGTCATAGTATTATTACTATGACTTTTAATATACTTAAATTTTATCCAATATATTGTTTTTTTTATTCGACTACATTAATGATTCATCATGTGTTCAAACTAGTGAAATTAAAAAAAAAAAAAAAAACAACTCTAAATATACAAAACTGACGATGAACTGTTTTTCCGATAAACACCGCTTAATGTCAAATTCTGATTTCAAGTAGACCTATAATTGTTTTTTCCCCAAGTTTTTCAGGGTGTTCAGACGTAATCGCCTAAAAAGTAAAATCTCATGGGATGGGGGAGCTTTAGCTGAATATTCTTTTTAATTTGACAAACTTCTCATATTTTTCCATTATGTATTGTATCGAAGATTTTAATAAACTCATCTATATTTTTTTTCCTGTTGCCATTTTTTCCTATTTATCCACTGTTGCCATTTTTTCCTATTTATCCACTGTTGCCATTTTTTCCTATTTATTTATCACTGTTGCCATTTTTCCTATTTATCCACTGTTGCCATTTTTTCCTTATTTATCCACTGTTGCCATTTTTTTCCTATTTATCCACTGTTGCCATTTTTTCCTATTTATCCACTGTTGCCATTTTTTCCTATTTATCCACTGTTGCCATTTTTTTCCTATTTATCCACTGTTGCCATTTTTCCCTATTTATCCACTGTTGCCATTTTTTCCCTATTTATCCACTGTTGCCATTTTTTTTCCTATTTATCCACTGTTTTATCCACTGCCATTTTTTCCTATTTATCCACTGTTGCCATTTTTTCCTATTTATCCACTGTTGCCATTTTTTCCTATTTATCCACTGTTGCCATTTTTTCCTATTTATCCACTGTTGCCATTTTTTCCTATTTATCCACTGTTGCCATTTTTTTCCTATTTATCCACTGTTGCCATTTTTTCCTATTTATCCACTGTTGCCATTTTTTCCTATTTATCCACTGTTGCCATTTTTTCCTATTTATCCACTGTTGCCATTTTTTCCTATTTATCCACTGTTGCCATTTTTTCCTATTTATCCACTGTTGCCATTTTTTCCTATTTATCCACTGTTGCCATTTTTTCCTATTTATCCACTGTTGCCATTTTTTCCTATTTATCCACTGTTGCCATTTTTTCCTATTTATCCACTGTTGCCATTTTTTCCACTGCCATTTTTACCGAGCACCGTGGGAACACACCTATTCTATAGTTAATAGACTCTCCCACCTATAATAAGTAGGAGTAGTAAGAGTAACGAGTCAGTCAGTGAGTCAGTCGATGTCGGATGACAGTTAGTAAGTATCAGCGACCACAACTAGATTACTCTGTATTATACCTATTATATCAAGTTCCTAACGTTTTGTATGCCGAACCTATTTTAGGACCAACTTAGTACAAATACAAGCCTCCACTGTGAAATCACTCCACAACAGAAGGTTAGGACTAGTGGAATTAAAAAGTGTAGTTAATTTTGACACTCACCATGAAAATAGTGATAGATCAATGAGAGGCTTGCAACATTTCATCTATAAGAAAGGGGTTGTAGGATGGGAAATAATTTGTCACTTACAAAGATACAGAGATGCTTTTAGATTCTATTGAGGATAGGCATGTGAAGATTGGGAAGCTCTGGCCCATATATGGTGCCAGTATTCCATTTTAGGCCTGATCTGACTCTTATAGAAGGTAGAGGATAACAGGAGGAGTGAGGTACTTGCTGGAGCAGTACAGGGAACCAACCATTTTTACAGTATCTTTAGTGATGGATTGTATGTACGAGTTCCAGTTGAGTTTAAGTCCCAATACGCACTCAAGTCACATCCAGTCATCGTGATTGGTGAAAGTTCCAAGTCCGATAGGCAAAGATGGAATGTAACTAGTTTCATTTTCAAGGCATTGAATGTGACCAGCCAGTTTTTCTCCCACTGAGCTGTTAGAGCTAGGTCTGAGCAGAGATCAGATGCCAAGCACTGGTCACCTAGGGTTTTTGAGGTGCACTCGTATAACATTGTATGATCAGAGTATACTCTTAGACAGACACAAACATACACCTTGACATGTTAGCTAAATGATCTCTATAAATATTACAACCAAGTAGTAAATGTCTTCTTCACTTAATTGTATATGTTAAAAGTTTTCTAATTCTTTCACACATTTATTTTTGAAAACAAGTTAAGAATTAAACAAGCTTTAAATCAAGAAGTGGTTAATTGTTTGAGTTGCAGTCCTTTCTCTCTCTCTCTCTATATATATATATATATATATATATATATATATATATATAGAGAGAGAGAGAGAGATGATTATTATGTAATAGCATTTCTCTTGCGAGGGGTGGATAATTGATTTGAACCTTTTAAAACTCTTTATTCTACATCACTTGATAAGACACCAGGTGTTGAAACAAAATGGCTATTTTTGTAGTGATTTTATAACATTTATGTTATAATTTTCGAATATATATATGTGTGTGTGTGTGTTCCAAAAACATTGGCATTTAAAATGAGAGTATCTGTGTAACTGCAAATAAAATTAAACAGGCTTCATGTTGAACAATAAAAGATTTATTTATCAAAATTGGAACAAGATATTCAAAGGGATGTAGATTTTGTAACTGATTTCACAAAGCTTAACAAATGTTCAATATGCATACAAACTGTGACACGACACACAAAGTCAGTAGTCCAGCTCCTGCCAAGCACACTGTAGCATGTCTTGTGTAACATTCTCCAGTGCCTCAGTGATTCTCTGCTTAAGTTTCTCTGGGCTTGTTGGAAGAGTGGTTATATAGACCTCTCCTTTCCCATAGCCCCATAAAAAAAAAAAAAAAAAAAAGTCACAAGATGTCAAGTCAGGTGAACATGGTGGTAATTTCAACAGCACACTGTCATTATCACTGGCACATCCAAGCCATCTTCCTGGTAGATTTTCATTGAAAAGTCTGCACAGTCAACTTAGTTAATTTTTACACATTTTCTTAAAATTGGAAAGCATTTGAGTGAGAATTGGCTATGTTATTTTTTAGTAGATACTTGTATTTGAGTAAGCGCTCTGTTTATCTATTAAACAATATATTTATTTTCATCTACACAACTGAACGTTTGAGAAATCTTATTAAAGAAAAATTTGCACTGTCCAGCAGGATTTGAACTTATGCCCCTCAGGGCAGGGGGAGCTACGGTTAAGTTGGTAGGGTGTGCTGGGCTTATTTCTTATTACTCTGCTTAACTTTTAGAAGACATTTTTTGCTATCCCAATATGCCTTTGGATTTTGGTGTCACCTTTTTGACCTAGTTAAAACACTTCTTAGATATTTAAATTTTTGTACATGCTTGACATTGACCTCTCCAGTTTGTAATTCACATGTTAGGGGTCTGCCCCTTTTGTTGACAACCATACATTCTAGCTGAACAAATTAAGACTAAATTTTGAAGGTTAATGGATCTTCACTGCAGAGAAATATAACCACCAACAAAAATCATAACATGAGAAAAAAGACAAAAATTACTAACCTCTGTAATATCTTCTTTATCTGGTACGATACACATTCCAGGTGGAGGTTCATTATAAATGGTCATTATGTCCCTGCAGGAAGAAGAAAAGAATAGAACGTACATCAATCAAATGTACAGATAGATAAAATATAAGTATTCTGTTAACTGCCATAATCCAACTATAAATAAAAAAGAAAAATAACTGCTGCCAAAAGATAATTTGAAATTCCTGTGACTGTCAGAAAATGTTTCTAAGTCTTCTGGTGATCTTGAGACTTTATTTTGTTTTCAACTCTTACACCAGATTACCAATGAGATGAAAATATCACATCGTACATTGATGCTGAAAAAAAAAAAAAAAAAGGTAATTCCACCTGGTGATAGAGATCAGTGTCAATCAACCTAAATGGCTGGATACTGTTAAAAGTAAGCTTTGTTAATAATATGAGATGTTCCTTAGGACGTGGGCGATTATGGCTCTCCACAACTTCCTATCCTTTATCACTCTTAGCAATGTATCTTCTCACTATCCCTTCCACTCCATTCTGCCATGCATTTACATAAGGTCTTTAGGTAGGTTACTCAAGGTTTCCCCTCTTACCTCATGTTCTGTGAGTGTCAAGTTCTCCAAGCCCACTTCATGTGTCCCAGAAATTTCAACTGTTCCTTAAAACTTCCTCATTACTAATATGTTAGGTCCATACTATTCTCAGCATCCTTCTTTAGAACCACATCTCTGTTGACTAAAGTCTCTGCATCATCTGTGAGGAAATAGTACAGCATTCACTGCCATATAGGAGGAATGATATTACATAGAAACAAAGTATTTAACTTCTAACAAAATTTTCCAGATTCCTTTTAGAAGGTATCTTTTATCATTCCAATCTTGGCTGTCATACAGGGTTGATAAGTAAACAAGTCCAAATGGAAAGGTATATAATAACTCCTCATTTATAGAATGTAACATGGTCTGTGCAAGAGGTAGTTTTGTCCAACAAAACCAAAACATTAAACTGAAGATTTACTTAAAAAACTTGTCAGACCAAGACTTTCATATGAATGCGCAAGCATGGCACCAAGCCTGTTCAGAAATACAGTGAGTCGCCGTCTATTTGCATTTCAACATTCGCAGATTTTTCTTTACTTGTTATTTGCAGAAACCCCAAATATTTGCATGTTTTTCTGAACATGCGTACAAATTATTCGCCAAGAACTCCCTCGATTCATGTATTTTTTGATAGAACATATTTAAAATATTCTTGTATTATTTTTCTGTTATTTAAGTGACTTAAATAAGGCATTTATATTATATAACAGTCCATTTTTATGGTAAAAATTAGCAGAATTGCACATTTTCATTGTAAAAAAAACAAACAAACAAAAACATGCATAGTGCTTGGGGCTTTGTACTTTGTTAGGAGTTGCGGCTGGGGTCTTAAAAGTGGCTTATGCTAAGTCTTGGGGGGGCATCATCACAGATCTGTTTTTAAAAAATGTTTTAAACTTTATATTTTATGTCTTATTACACATTTTATACAGTATTTTCAATGGTTGTATCAATCTATGCATAATTAAAAACGGTTATTGTATGTATGAAAAAATTTATGCTAAGTCTATGGTCACCAATACTATTTTTAAAATATGTTATAAAAAGGGTCCGAAATATTTCTAAAATGTTTAGGATGAAAGTTTAAGGCATATGGGGTTTTAACAATCAATAGGTACTTATAAGCACTTTTAGTGGGGTTACAAGTATTCACAGATTCTAACTATTCACAGTCAGTTCTGGTCCCTAACACTCATGAATATGGGAGACTAACTGTATCTAAACTGTCAGCTGTATACAACCTCTTTCTGAGATCAATGGTTAAAAATGGTTTTCAGCAAGTGAATCTTGTGGATATTGTCAAAGACCATCCTTCTTCAAACTTTGTAGACCGACACTACTGAGTCAAAAACAAAGAACTGTACCAAATAACAGAAACGTCATCACTTGAGGACTTTCAACAGCAGCAACAGCTAAAATGGATAGTGCATGTAAGTTAAAGAGAAGGAAACTGCTATCAATACTGGAAAGAACAATAACAGCTACCGAGCTTGAGAAACCTATTTTCCTGAAAGATTTTATAAATTTCAACGAAAAGAATCAATTCCAAATGTTTCCTTATAAGGAAACAGCTAATATTACCATTAACATGCCATTGTTCACATTATGGAACAAATAGATTGTACTTGATTAATCTGGCAAAATAAGGAATACAGTAAGATTACGAGGAATATCAGTTGTGAGCAAATTAAAGATTTCTAAAAAATCTAACTTCAGACAAGAGGAAGCATTTCTCTACAACAATTATTTTTTTTATTTTTACCTTGATGTCTTAAGAATCATTTTAGGTATAAGAATATATAAAGGGTACTTCAGAAATATCTCCCACATAATTGTAAGATGTTAATGGCAATGTTGTCTTCATCTAGATAATGTCTTACCATTATGTGTAAGGTATTTTTGCCGCACTGTATAAACAAATAATGGATTTTAATTTGATAATGTTTGTAAGTATACACATTATTTTAGTGGATACGCCTGTTCTTTCAAGTAGTGAAATTAATTCCCATTGGCCTAGACATAGAAAGTTTTATTAAAGATGTACAAACATGTGTATCCACTAAAATAATGTTATATATAAGGTTGATCATTCAGATTTATATACAAGTTTGTTGAATCACCGTGATGATGATTTGCCTACTGACTCTTGAGATTCTTTTCCCTTTTTCTATTAAATAAATTACAGCCAACATATAGCAAGGTTTCTAATGACACATATATACTTGAGCTTTATAAATTACTAACTTAAAAGCCACCCTATTGAGGGCTCTTGATTGGACCTTTGGCCCAGCAATGACATTTCATATATTGAGTACATATTAAATTTTATTAAACATGAACAATATTTTTCAAACAATAATTTTCATCAAAACAATGACACAATTTGTCTAATTTAGAACTTATCGCAAAGCTGCATGATAAACAACATTTTTGGTTTTCCCATTCGAAGTCAATACAAATAGCTTGTTTCCATTCCCAACCCTTGAACAACCAACATAGAGCTGGCCATGAGAAAAGAAGGGTTCCCTCAGATGAAGTCCAGTTACTTTCAGTGATTGTCCTTGGGACTTATTGATTGACATTGCATAGCTCACTCTCACTGGAAACTGAAGTCTTTTGAACTCAAAAGGAAAGTCTGGAAGAATTAAGGTGATTCTTGGAATTAAAATTCTTTCCTCCTTTCCTGGATGAGGAATCATCTTCTTGACAATTAACCTTGTTCCATTACAAAGCTTTGGAAGATCCAAATTTTTCAATAGCATAAAATGGCACATTTTCTTTTAGTTCCAGCTTGTGTGATGGCACTCTGGAAGGATTCAATGAGTTCAGGAACTCTATTGGATAATTCACTGCCTGCTCTTGTTCAACCACAGTGTCAATGGAAAAGTACTTCATGCTTTCTTTTGAATTTCTTGGAGAAGTTCCCAGTTGTTGCTATCCAGAGTTTGATTCTTGGAAGCTACTATGGCCTTCTGACAAAGCCAGTTTGAATCCATGAAATGGTGTTTAATGTTTGGATAAACATGGTTAATACCAGTTACTCAAGGTGCATCTAAGAAGAAAATTGTTGTTGCTGATGTCACCAAGGAGCTTCTGATACACTTGTTGTTAGTCTTGATTCAACAGGGACCCATTGTTTTGAACACATTGCTGCAGTTCTTCTATGTTGTATCCTGTTTCTCTCAAAATTTCTCTGCTGATTTGTCCAGTTTCTCTGTTTGGATTTGGCAGACCAAAATTGCTGAGATCTTTGTGTCAAGTTCATCACTGTCTTCAATTTCACAGAGAGCTAAATGTGCAATCTGAGGATTCAATTCCAATCCTGGATGAGCAAATCTCATTTGAAGAACATGATATCTAAAAGTTAGAGAGTTGTGTCCTTTTAATTGAAAAAAGTGCAACAGACATTTTTATATTTATTATAAAAGATGTTGCAATAGAGCAAAGTCCAATAATAGCAAAAAAAAAAAATTGAAATGGAATTAAGCAGAATTAATTCCTTTTCATGAATTGTAATTAAAGTCTGAAGAAATTTTAAACAGAGTTGAAATATATAAAATAAAATTTGGAAAAAAATTACAATATTGCAACAATAATGTATTTTATAAGTTTATTTTTTCTGTAATTATTTTTTCTTTGTTTAATGAAATATTTGGTGTGTTCATAAGCTTCCAGCATCAGTCAAGTTATTAACAGAAAGGGTAACTTTTGCACATACTGCTCTCTTCATGATAAAAATATCCTGAAGATTGCATGAAACAGACTGTCACCTGTGTTGACCTCAGTGCCCACTTTTTTATTTACATATGCTCTGTCCCTAATTACCCATAAATATAGCATACCATAAAACTATATAAAGCATATATATATATAATTTCACCCCAAACAAGGTAAAAAAGCCTCTAAGATGCAAGGATGTATTAAGAGAATATGAGAAAAGAATATTAAGGAGAGTGAATAATAAAAAGACAGAACGATTGATATTGGATTTAAATTTTTGAAGATCAAATTTGACTGGGAAACAAGAAACCAGAAGAGTTCAACAAGCAAGAAGTGTAATAGAAGAAACTATAAGCATAGAACTTGCAGTTGCATCTAGCTAATTCAACTGTAAACTGACGCGACCATGTCAACAATCTAGTACAATGCTTAAATTAATAAAGTCTAAGTACAATAAAGGAAAGTTCATCAGAATAGTCACCATGAAAATATTTATAGAAAAAGGCACAGGGAAACTACATAACAGTTGTGTGGAAAATGACCGAAGCTGATATGCCAGGTTAGGACCAATAACATTGCAGATTCTTTGGATTTTATCAAGAATCTCTAAAGATATAGCAGGATGTAGCCTAGATATTATACAGGGATTACAGGGTTTAAAAAAAAAATAATTTTAAATTGGGATTTAAAATAAACAAGATTTATATTTTATAAATAAAATAAATAGGGATTAATGTTTTTTTTTTTTTTTTAATTTTGTATTT